ACTATGATTATTACAATGCAGAATAAACTTCTTTTGCCGTACCCCAAACTGGTCAAACAACCCCCTAGATACATCATCTGTTTTGATGCCTACGTCAAGGAAACATACTCAGCTCTAGATGATGACAAGGCAATTATGTCATGTAATCATGACATCCAATGAACTGCACCTCTACCAACCATGAAAATTAGCTAGTAATGGATTTTCTTGTGACACCCTACGTAATTTACATTCACAAAACCAGCAACTTCCAGTGTCAAATTTCATCTTCTCCAAATATCAAAAATTGCACTTCACTGCTTGTCAATGTTCCTATCTTAGATTAGACACGTAACTTGAAACAATGTCCACTACATCGACAATATCTGGCCTAGTACAAACTGTTGTATACATTAAATGACCCGTTATAGAAGTGTAACGAACATTCTTCATCCTGATTTTCTGCCTCATTCATTAGAGAGTCATTTTTGGACAATTTAAAATGTATAGCTAATGGTGTAGAAACAAGTTTATAGTCAATCATATTAAATTTTAAAAACCTTAGAATTACATTTAGATTGACTTAACCTAAGCTTACCTTGCCATCTCTCTCTCTCAATTTGCATCTCCAATATCTTCTTTGATGGCCTAAACTTTGATGGCAAAATTTAGACATATCGAGCTTCAAATGCTTGATTTCTTTTCGTTCATTAGTGGTAACCAACATAGCATCAACATAAATCAACAAAATAGTTAAAGAACCACTTGTCGAAACCTCAAGATATACAAAATAATCAAACTCATGTCTAACATAACCGTCTTCATGAATAAAACTGTCAAATTTCTTGCTCCAAACCTTATAACCCTTTTCAACTTACAAATTAAGTTAAGATTAATCTTGTCCTTGAAACCTTCAAACTAACATATGTAGGTCTCTTTCTTCCAGATCACCATGCAAGAAGGCAGTTTTAAAGTCAATATATTGTAACTCTAAATTCAAATTGGAAATTGAAGACAAAACAAATGCTTTAAAATATGAGCAAAAATTTCATTAAAATCTATGCTCATTTTTTGTAAATTTCATTAAAATCAACACCCATTTTTTGTCTGTAAACTTTCTACTACAAATCTGACTTTATATCGCATAAAGCGATTAGCATCCCACATAAGTGCATATAACCATCTCTTCTTCAATCCCTTATTCCAATGTGGAAATCTTACCAACTGCCATGTGTGATTCTGATGTAAGTCTTCAATCTCATCTCCTATTGCCTTTTGCCGGTTAGCAGCATTATAACAGTTTGTAGCCTCCTAAAAAAACTCAGGTTCACCATCATCAATAGACAAAGCATAACACAAAGAAGGAGAGTACCCTTGTGTGAGCTTAAGGGGGTGTGTTGATCTCCTTAGCTATTTTATAAGTGTAGCTGGCAGACCTTCCTCATTTCCCATGGAATTATCATGCTGATTTTCTATCAAATCTACATCTTTTTCATGACTTACATCATCTCCGTAAGTTTCAGCTTGAACATAAGGTTAAGTCTCTTGCAATTACCAAGGTGAAATAATGGATTTCAAACTTGCATATCTATAACAAGTCTTTATTGCTTGTGCTCTTCTTTTCTTTTCGACAAGCATCACATCTTACTAAACACTCCTTTTGATCTTCTTGGCAATAAGGCCCTAAAGCTTGTAACTCCGATCATCACCATCATATCCAAGAAAGCACTTCTTCGTAGACTTGGCATCCAACTTAAGTTCTCAAGTTGATCATATGACACACTTTTACAACTCCAAAGAAATTATGGTATTTCACTATTCAAATGTGTACTAGGAGATCTATTAATCGAATATACCTTTGTATTAGCTGCTTCAGCCCAAAATGGCTTGCCAAGATTAGATTGCGATAATATGCTTTTCATATGTTTCATGATGGACCTATTAATTATCTCAATGACATCATTCCGTTGTGGTGTTTCGGGAATAGTCCTTATTATGCAAATGCTATTCTCCCTATGCAAACACCCACGCTAAATTTTGGCTATGGCCGTTCCTAGAAAAAGTAGGACTTTGATCCTTAGGGACTGTATTAGCCTAGTGAATAGTAGTGCACCATAACTTATAGTCCATAAATCATAATCCTTTAGATATCCTTAGGGGAAATCCCATAACCATCATATTATCTAAATCAATCCTACTGAAATCTAACTAGCAACAACATGGAAATGGCAGCCAAAATAGGTCAGACAACCACTAAATTGTAGGGCGGGACTACACACAAATTTTGGGATGGTCCGGGATTGACTTGGCTTAGCGACATGAGATAAGTTGCTGGGCACAGTCGGCTGATTCCATTAACCCCTGGATATTCTGAAAAGTTAGTATGGGTTTTGGTGGTTGGGTCTTGCTCGTTTTGATGGTTGGGTCTTGTTCGTTTTGAAGCACATCCAATCTTGTTATGTTTTGTATTTTCATTCATGTTATTTCTCAATCAATATTTGTTTTAGGGTGCAGTCTGCATACGAGTGCATCCGTAGGGGTAGAGGT